CAGTCTCATTTCACGGAATTATTTTTTCCAAATTGGGGATTTAAAAAAAGTCTTTGTTGAAGAGTTATAAGATGTGAACCAAACCAACCAGCTAGGAGGTAAATCACAACATTACAAACTTTGATTTGAAGCATTAAGGCGTTTGAAAACTGGACTAAAATACAAAGGTATAAGACTGTGCAAAGAACTAAAATCCCATGCAGCATTGTGAGTGACAATAAAATCATTGACTTCCATAGAATTTTTGTCCATACTATGGAAGTCAATGTGAACCAAAACCGTTTGGTTACCAAGATTGATCAAAATACCTTCTTTTGGTCAGTCATACAGGTTTGGAACAACATGAGGGGGAGTAAATTACATCATAATTTTCATTTTTGGGTGGACTATCACTTTAAATGTTTACAGTATAAGTTATTGGTCAAATCAATTTCCCAATAGAGGAAATAAATGGTGTTTTTTACTTCCAGAACCCAACTGTTGAACCCTATAAAACATCTCTGCTCGACAATCTGCACAATTTGAGGCATCATTCATGTCTGTAGCACAAAGTGCAGCGTTAGATCTCTGTTCAGATCTCTAACTCTTAGTATGAGCAATAATAGTAATAATTATGTGTGCCTTAGTAAGTGCCACTAATGAAGATATCTTGCTTTAACTCTGTAGTTAACTCCATTTCTGTGTGTTATTCTGGGGCTCAGGTGGGTTCTGCCCTAACGAGCCAATTGAGGCCATCATGATGCATGCCCTGATTTCAGCCAGGAATACCAACACAATTTGGCCCAGAGGACACATGAAGAACACACACACACACAGAGAGAGAGAGAGAGAGAGACATCAGTGAGGTTTCTAACCTCAGCTAACACAAAAAGGATAGTTGCTCTGTGTATTAATGAATGCTTTATTAACAGCCAGGAATACCAACACAATTTGGCCCAGAGGACACATGAAGAACACACACACACACAGAGAGAGAGAGAGAGAGAGAGACTTCAGTGAGGTTTCTAACCTCAGCTAACACAAAAAGGGGTCGAGTTTATGAAAGGAAAGACAGAAAACATGGAAATAGAGAAAGAGATGGGGGACAGAGAAAGAGGTTGATTGAGTGGAGAGGGCCAGAGGCTGAGAGAGAAACTATCATCAGCCTGTACACGTTTCAGCTTTCTGTGCTTAATGGACTCGGTGGGCAGAAAAGACAGCAGAGTTGAACAGAGAGAGAGAGTTATTGAAAGTATGATGCATTAATGGCTCGTATTAATAACACAGCAGGACCAAACAAAATCATTTTGGCTCATCTCTAACTGACCACTCTATTACCACAGTGACCAGGCATTCCAGTTTTCCGTGGACAGTCCTCGTTTTTTTGTCCCCATCTGGAGCTGTCTTGTGTGTCTGCAGCCTGAAATGTGAAATTATTCCTAATGAGCCACATATTACACACAAAATATTATCACTGCAGCATACAATGTGTAATTTCAATTTCAAATGTTCACACAATTTTAGGGTAAAAAAACTGAACAGAAGACAATTAAAAACTGAATATTCCGTATACTGTAAACAAAGTAGTTTACAATGCTATGTCAGAGTATGATTTACCATAATTACCGGAGTCAAAGTACACAAAACCAGAATCGTTCCCCTTCGAATTATTTAATTCATAGTTTACATCAGTGGAAATGTAAATTGATCGTGAACTAGAAATGTCCCTGGTTTTCATTTCAGAAATCTAGTCACCTTAGTGTGTGAGAGAGTTTTAAAGTCCAATTCAATTGTATTGCTGCACTGAAAGGGGAAAATGGGTCAATATTCAACCGTAGTTTCATTAGCTACTGAAAACAGGTCTTGTGTTTACGCCTCTGAGCTGTTGGTCTCCAACATCCCATTTCTTTATCTGTCACACCTCTCTTTTGGTCTCGATATGATCTCCCTCTCTCTCGCTAGCAACAGCTGTTGTTGTGTAGCTGCTCCTCAAACCCCCTACGGGCATGAGAAGTGAACGCAACGAACTCAACCCACACCACACCACAAGGCTGGGCGCCCCGGTCCGCTGTGCGGTCCCGTCTGACCGACACATCAATATGATTACAGCATATACATCAGTGAGGTTCTCCTCAACAAAACCCAGCCACTTATCCTCACACATTCACCTCACATTCTTCTTTTGCCCCGGGCATTTCTCAGCCCTTCGCTGAATAAGATGAGCCCATCAGTTAAATGCAACAGAGATATCGATTCAAGTGAATGGTGTTATAACCGTAGAGCTGCCCGAGGACATCGTATTATGCCGATGCGTTCATTAATATTTGCTGTAGAACACAGACAGAGCAGGTTCTCTGGCGGAGTGCTCAGAAATTCAACATGGATCTGTTATTAGTCTGCTGACGAATAAACCTACAGCTCAGTAGCGTAAACTGTGAAAATGCAGCTATTCAGGGATTATATTAATTAGTCATAATTCGGCTAGATCTGAATATCAGTATTGTTTTGGACAGTTACTGTGTCTGATTGGCATATGTGGCGGAGTGCTCAGAAATTCAACATGGATCTGTTAGTCTGATACTGCTGACGAATAAACCTACAGCTCAGTAGCGTAAACTGTGAAAATGCAGCTATTCAGGGATTATATTAATTAGTCATAATTTGGCCAGATCTGAAATCCAGGATTGTTTAGGACAATTACTGTGTCTGATTGCCATATTTGGCAGGTGTCCTGGAAAAGAGAACCTAGAAGGATATTATCCATGCTCAGGCTTGAAAATGCAACACTCATTGCAATTTGTAACTATTTTACGTTTTGGCAAATCGGTGGCTAATTCATATTAAAGAAACGGTTCACCCAAAAATGAAAATTTGCTGATAAATCACTCACCCTCAGGCCATCCAAGATGAGTTTGCTTCTTCATTGGATTTGGAGAAATTTAGCATTAGATAACCATATGTATATGATTAGCCTATATATGGATCCTCTGCAGTGAATGGGTGCCGTCAGAATCAGAGTTTAAACAGCTGATAAAAACATCACAATAATCCACAAGTAATCCACATGCCTCCAGTCCATTAATTAACATTGTGTGAAGTGAAAAGCCCCATCCCATCCTCTCATTCTGACGGCACCCATTCACTGCAGAAAATCCACTGGGGATCAAGTGATGTAATGATAAATTTCTCCAAATCTGTTCTGATGAATAAACAAACTCATCTACATCTTGGATGGCCTGAGGGTGAGTATTCAGCAAATTTTAATTTTAAGTTAAACAGTTCCTTTATCTTGTACAATCTCATTCATATACTTTTGTCAGAGCTGCTTACAGTTAGGTATAGGGGTGGACCTTGATGCTTATTATTCAAAAAATCATAAGTTAGCAAAACAGTGCTGCTGATTGATTCTCATTTGTTGCCACTTTAAAATATAATTGTCACTGCAACTATTGCACTGCAGTACTTGCCAGTTTAGGCCCAGTGTTAGAATTACACATAATTTCTGCCTGACAAAGGCGCATTTATTGCGGTACATACTGATAAGTATATTCTGCTGACAAAATGCTCATATTGTAATGTTAACGGTAGTTCATCCTGACAAATAAGCACATTTTCTCAGACAAGTATGCCTGCTTAAATTATTGGTAGATCCTGGGTGGCTTGATGATTTCAGAATTTGCTTTTTGATGTAGAGTTTGCTTTTGAGTCATGTTCAGATCATTTAAGAAGAGTAATAGCTCTGATGGCCACAACTTATTGTTAGTAACATGATTTCTCTTTGGGATCCTAAATATACAATAGGTCTCCGAACTAACACGGGGGGTGGGCTGTATTTCAATAGCCATAACAATAGTGACTGTGAAAATCTTTATGTAAGTAGTATATAATACAATAGAACAAATCTTAACAATAAAATGGCTATGAGTCTCTCATAAATGGGTATTTTGAAGGATCTTCAGGGCCCTCAAAAAGTGTGAATGATAGATATCTGCATTCATATTCTGTATATTGCAGTGTGCTGTTGTCACCTGGTGGCTGCAAAGGAAACTACACTATTCATTTGAGCTCTGCAGTGACAAGTGGAGTTTGGCTCATTGCACCGACGTAAAATAAGTAAACATAAATCTTGATGCAATGGACAATCACGTTGTGGAAAAACAGAGAAAGAAATTTTGTTAATAAGTTCCTTTATTTATGCTTAAAATAATAAAGGCATTTTATTTTAGCCATTGAGGTTTTCTGTTTGTTTGTTTGTTGTTGTTGTTGTTGTTTTTTTGCCCAATTTTGGCCCTATGGAGTTTTAGAAAATAGACTTTTCCACCACCATCTAAAATTATGCATTAGTAGTATGCATAATATATTTTAAACATTTGTGGAATAAAATGGCAGGCTTGTTTGTCTTAATAAGACTAGGCTAAAAGGTAGTGTTTTACGTATCCTAAATAAATAAATACTTTTATATATATTTATATGTTTTAAATAATAGTAGTCCGGTTATAGAACTAATGACTCTCATGAATTCCTGACATCCCAGGAAAGTCCGATTCCAGAACGAATTCTGATTCTAACGAGTCGGTTCTTTTAAGTGAATCCAACACATACAGCATAACAGTTACTTCACTGCGTACTACTCTTTCTGCCATGCAAAATATATGACAACGTGTATTTAATGACGCGCATAATGATTTTTATCAGATTCCCATTTCTATTATAGAGCAAATATCTAATGTTTCATTATTAAAATATCTATAAGGAACTGTAAACTATAAGGAAACTGCAACCATTGCGGTATTTAGTAGTCTCAATAATCTCAAACTGCATCTTGTGTGTTTTCAGTGTTGTACCTAATTTAAGTTACCTAAATGAGTGCCATAATTGGAGGATGCGGGCATCGATCCCGCTACCTCTCGCATGCTAAGCGAGCGCTCTACCATCTGAGCTAATCCCCCTCTGAAAGAATCACTGTCGGGAAGATTTTTGTGCGACAGCTCATAGCGTTCCTATGGGTGTTACACTACAATAGCACCGGCGGAAGTGAGTAGAACCAGCCGCGCGGCCTGTTTCATATAGGCGAAAATGTCGACCGGGGTGGGAAGTAAGTGTTATTTTATTTCCTAAACAGAGTCACAATACAGTCTAAAATCAAAACACTTTGTAAATGGGATTCTGGAGCATTTTAAACTATGTAAATAGAGCAGCTAATGCTCTTAGTAACGCTGGGGTGAGCAATTTAGTTGCTGCGCTTGCTGGCTTCATGAAAACAAAGACGATCAATGTTTACATTGTCAACACACATTTCTCTCTGTTCTTGAACAAAATTTGCTATTTTACGTTCCGCGTATGTAATATAAATAATTTTCTGTTGTATGAATGGTGCATGTTGTTTTAAATAAGTCCCTAAGGTCACACTGCATTATGATCAGCCTTTTTTTTTTATCTCAACATAATTTCCCCCCACAATTTTGTCATGAATTGTATTAAATACAGCTTTAAATAAAACTTCTATTTTGAACACAATTGTTATTGTAGAACACAAGATGCTGTCTCTGGGTCCGACTGAACCCTGGTCAGTTCGGGAGAAACTCAGTCTCGCGTCCTCCGTGATGAGAAGCGGAGATCAGAACTGGTAAGAATAAATTATTTACCCTCATGATTTTAGAACTGTATTAAGATTGTAGCATGTTAAATAATGCAGAGCTTTACCATGCAGCAGTGTCTGTATTGTAGCTTTTCCTAATATATGAGGGCATTGTTAATCACCCTTAAACGTGGATTTAAAGCGGTCTTCTTTTACAGAGGTAAAACTGTTCAGTTGACAGATGCCGAATGACTGAAATGTATAGATAGATAGATAGATAGATATTAATTTCACATCATGACTTTTATGTTTTTCAAAATCCTAAAACGTTGTTTTTATTTCCAAGTTTAGAGTTTGAATCTAAGTTGTAAATAAAACAAAGATTACTGGAGTACATTTTACAAGAAAATACTATTTCAGTTTTTTTACTTAAAGGGGTCATATGATGCACTCTTTGGAGTGTTACAAGCTCTTGGTGCATAAAGAAGATCTGTAAAGTTGCAAAGACTAAAGTCTCAAATCCGAAGAGATATTCTTTATAAAAGTTAAGAGTCAGCCACGCCTACCTAAAACGGCTCGTTTTAACACGCCCCCACATATCTACATCACTATGTGGGAAGATTTGCATAACACCGCCCAAATGTTCACACAAAGAAAGAAGGAGTAACTTTTATTCTCGCTGTAATATTGAAAAGTGAAAAGTGAAAAAGTGAAAAGTGACGTGACATGTGGCCAAGTATGGTGACCCATACTC